GAGGTTTGCTTTGTTACCGAGTATATGGTCAGTTTTCGAGAAGGTTCCATGAGCTGCAGAGAAGAAGGTATATTTTTTCCTATTTGGGTAGTCTCTTATTTCTTTGTTTAGTTTTGTCTAGCAGTCCTGTCCATTGGTAAGAGTGTGGTGTTGAAGTCTCCTATTAGTGTGTTGGTTTGATGTGTGATTTAAGCTTTAGTAATGTTTCTTTTATATACATATGGGTATTTTTGTGTTTGGGGCATAGATGTTCAGAACTGAGACTTCATCTTATTGGATTTTTCCTGTGTTGAGTATGATGTGTCCTTCTCTATCTCTTTTCATTGATTTTAGTTTGAAGTCTATTTTTTAGATATTAGAATATCTACACCCTCTTGTTTCTTAGGTCCATTTGATTGGAAAATCTTTTACCAACATTTGAAGTAATATCTGTATTTAAGATTGAGGTGTGTTTCTTGTATGCAGCAGAAGGATGGATCCTGATTACATATCCATTCTGTTAAACCATCTCTTTTTATAAGTGAATTGAAATTGAATCCATTGATATTAAGAGATATTAATGACGAGTGATTATTAGTTAATTCCTGCTCTATTTTGGTGATAGTGTGTATGGTTTTACCTCTTTGGAGTTTGCTGGTATGAAGTTTGAGTATCAGTTTCCTGTGCTTTTGTAGGTATAGCTAACTTCCTTGGGTTGGAGTTTTCCTTCTAAAATTTTCTGTAATGCTGGATTTGTGGATATCTATTGTTTAAATCTATTTTTGTCATCCAACTATGGTGATTGAAAGCTTTCTGGGTATAGTAGTCTGGGCTTGCATCCATGGATTTAGTGTCTGCAACACATCTGTCCTGGACCTTCTGGCTTTATAGTTGGGTATAATTCTGATAGGTCATTAGCCTTTTTCTTTTGCAGCTCGTAATATCCTTTCTTTGTTCTGTATATTTTGTGTTTTGATTATTATATGGGGAGCTGGAGAAATGGCTCAGTGGTTAAGAGCACTGCCTGTCCTTCCAAAGGTCCTGAGTTCAATTCCCAGCAACCACATGGTGGCTCACAACCATCTGTAAGGAGATCTGGTGCCCTCTTCTGGCCTGCAGGCATACATGCAGACAATACTGTATACATAATAAATAAATCTTTAAAAAAATAAAATAAAATGATTATTATATGGTAAAGTTAAATTTTTTTCTAGTCTATTTAGCGTTTCTTATCTTCTTATACCTTCAGAGGCATATCCTTCTTTAGGTTGGGAAAGTTTTTGTTTATGGTTTTGTTGACTATATTTTCTGTTCCTTTGAGCTGGATTTCTTCTTCTGGTCCTAGTACTCTTAGGTTTGGTCTTTTTACAGTGTCCCAGATTTTCTCGATATTTTGTGTGAAGGATTTGATGAATGTGATATTTTCTTTTACCAATGAATCTGTTTCCTCTACTGTATCTTCAACTCATGAAATTCTCTCTTCCATCTTTGTATCTGTTGGCTAAGCTTGCATCTGTAGTTCATGTTCGTTTACCCAGATTTTCCATTTCTAGAATTCCCTCAGTTTTGGTTTCTTTATTTTCTCTATTTCAATTTTCAAGTCTTGAACTGTTTGAACTGTTCATTTCACTTGTTTGATTGTTTTTTTTTTTTCTTGGATTTTTTAAAGAGGTTTATTTATTTCTTCCATTTTGTTCTTTTCCTCCATTTCTTTCATGGGATTTTTCTTTTCCTTTTTAAGGGTCTTTAAAATCTTCATAAAGTAATATTTAAGGATGTTTTCTTCTGCGTTAGAATTCAGGTCTTCCTTTTGCAGAACCCCTAGATTCAGGTGTTGCCATATTGCTCTTTCTGTTGTTGAATGTATTTTTGTGTTGGTGTCTACCCATCTCCTCCTCCAAGGAGTGCAGGTGGGGCCTATGCTTCAGGGAGTCTCTCTTCCTGAAATTACTGCAGGTGGGGCCTGTTGCTTAGATGGTTACAGATTCTCCTCTGGGGGACTCCTCTCCATTTGCTGTCTGGGCCAAGGCTCTGGTGGTCATAGGTGCAGTGAGGAATCATTGCAGGTATGAGGCAACTGCTCCAGGGTCTTCAGGGTTTGGTGGTTGGGGCTAGGGCATGGGATGTTCCTCTGTGGGCTTGGACCTGGACAGCAGGGCCCTCTAGCTGGGAACCCAGGTGCTCACCTCTCCAGAGATGTGCTGTGGGATGGTTAGGAGTGTGAGGAATCTGCTTCCAGGTCTCAGGCTTTGATGGGTGGAGGTTGGGTGCAAGATATGCTTCTGGGCATTAGAGTCTAGAGGGCAGGGCCCTCCAGCAGGGAAACCAGACACACATCTTTCCAGGGACAGTCAGCTCCAAGTCTTTGGTGGTCTCAGATGTGGTGGTGCATGGTTGGTAGTATGGGGAGGCTGCTGCCAGATTTCTGGGGCTTTTCTGGGGGCTGGGGTGGGGCACAGGATGTGCCTTTTGGAACAGACTCCTTTTCGAGCCACTGAAGAGCAGGTTGTTTATTGGCAAAACTGTCACCATTGAGGTGGTATCCGATTCTAAGTTGCACAAGTGACCTGTACTGTGTGTTCTCAAAACAATCATGAAAATGTTTCCGTTCCTAAAATGTAGTGTATAGCTGCCTATATTAATAGCATATAGAAGTGATCCCTTTACCCAAAATCTCTCCAGCATTTAAGTTGTCATCAGTGTTTTTGATTTTGGCCATTCTTACAAGTGTAAGATGGAATCTCAGAGTTGTTTTGATTAGCATTTCTCTGATGACAAAGGATGTTGAATATTTCCTTAAGTGTCTTTCAGCCATTTTAGATTCCTCTGTTGAGAGGTCTCTGTTTAGGTCTGTACTCCATTTTTTTATTCAATTATTTTTTTCTTTTGATGACCAATTTCTTGAGTTCTCTGTATATTTTGTCTGATATGGGGTTAGTAAAGATCTTTTCTCATTCTGTAGTGGGAATGCAAGCTGGTACAGTTCTTTGGATGTCAGTGTGGCAATTTCTCAGAAAATTAGGAAACAACCTTCCTCAAGACCCAGCAATACCACTTTTGGGTATATACCCAAAGGATGCTCAATCGTACCACAAAAGCATGTGCTCAAATATGTTCATAGTAGCATTGTTTGTCAAAGTCAGAACCTAGAAAGATCCTAAATGCCCCTTGACCAAAGAATGGATAAGGAAAATGTACATTTACACAATGGAGTACTACACAGCAGAAAAAAATGACATCTTGAATTTTGCAGGAAAATGGATGGAGCTAGAAAAGTGAAGTAACCCAGACACAGAAAGAGAGTTATCACATGTACTCACTCATAAGTGGATTTTAAACATAAAACAAAGAAAAGCAGCCCACAAATCTGTTGGGAACATAATCAACTGGCAAATAGGATTAACCAGGCTAACTTTAATATCAGTTTTATTTATTTATTTTTTTAATATTTATTTATTTATTTATTTATTTATTTATTTATTTATTTATTTATTATGTATACAGCATTCCTTCCATGTATGCGTGCAGGCCAGAAGAGGGCACCAGATCCCATTACAGATGGTTGTGAGCCACCATATGGTTGCTGGGAATTGAACTCAGAACCTTTGGAAGAGCAGGCAATGCTCTTAACCTCTGAGCCATCTCTCCAGCCCCCAATATCAGTTTTATTAAGGGGAAGAAGGGATAACTTACAAAACCAAAGTTCCAAGGAAGAGCAGGAAACAGAAAGGGAGGCGGGGAGCACACCCGCAATATTTAAAGTAAATATTAGCCCAAGGGGATCCCGCCATTCAAGCAAGGTGATTGGCTGGGCTTCCCCTACACAAATCACAAACTCAGAGAACTTAGACAACAATGAGGACCCTAAGAGAGACATACATTGATCTAGTCTACATGGGAAGTAGAAAAGACAAGATCTCCTGAGTAAATTGGGAGCATGGGGACCTTGGGAGAGGGTTGAAGGGAAGGGGAGAGGCAGGGAGGGGAGCAGAAAAAAATGTAGAGCTCAATAAAAATCAATAAAAAAAGAATGGCATACAGTGCCTATAGAATACCTATGACTGCTATATACAGTGTAGTATGTAGCTGCCTATTGAATAATGTACAGTGCCTTTATCAGCTTACTGTATCATTGAAATAAATTTTTCAGCTACTTGTTTTATTTTTTAATGTCATTGTTTCGTTTTGCTATTTTTTTCTCCCCCACCTAAAATCCAAGTGGCTATGTAATATTAGTTTTTCTCCTTTCTTGAGAAATTCCTAAGGTAGCTTTTAATTCTTAAATGTTCTAGCTCAAGTTGTTCCTATCATGTTTTTCCTCATTTTACTCTAAGTCGCATTTCAGTGCCTTAATTTTATCATTATCCTTAGAGTATTTTTAAAAGTCTCATAGTATTTCTAAAAAATAAGTCTGAAAAATGTTGTCAGATATGTCTGTTCATACATTAATCCTAACACTCTTGAGACTAAAAGAAGTAAATTGCCATGAATCCATGGCCAATGTAGATAGAGTGAAACTTTGTTACAAAATCAAGTCCAACACAAAACAAAACAAAACTTGAAATAGTAGTATATATCTTATAGAGAGCTAATATAGTCTTGACTTTTTGTCTGAGATATTTGTATTGCTTTTACAGTTAAATTGAAGTCACCTTAAATGCTTTTGTACCTCAGAAAAGTACCTCATATATGTACACATAATTTTTTGATATGTATTCATCTGAGGATACTTAAAAGTTGTTGGGTGCCTAGAGGACAGGCCTTCCCACCCCCACTTGATCTGTTTTTCACTCTTGTGGTTGGTTGTTCTGAAAATAAGAGCAAAAACAAGAACAGAAAAATCTGTTATTTTCATCAATGTTTCTAAAGATGTTTACCCCTACGATGATGAGCTTCTTGTTTTTGCTGGCTTGGCCTCCCCTGCTGAGGGCTATATATACTGCTGTGAAAAAGTGGAATAAAGGCTTGTCTGCAGAACCTGAAGTTGTTGTGTGTTAATCCCTATGTACGTCCTCTCTCAGAAGAACTACAGTTGCCGTGCTGGCGCGGCAAAGTGGAGGTTCCATCACAAGAGTGCAAAACAGATCAAGTGGGGGTGTGAAGGCCTGTCCTCTAGGGACCCAACAAAAGTAAGTAAGAAAAGTACAATTACACTAAGTTTGTATCTCAGATAACATGATGTTTCCTGAAGGTTAGTTCATGCTCTATTGCTTAAGGTCTAGCTTAGTGAGCTACCAGCAAGGAGTAGAATGTTTCAGGACATGTGAGAATAATAGACACACTGCATAATTGCTTAAGGTTTCTTTTAAGTGTTTTAAGTAGCCGCAGCCTGTCTTTTGTGGTTAGGTGTGTTTTAAGCAATGCCCTTACCATAAATTTCCTTGTGATAATGAGCTAGAATAGTGGGCAGATAATCAGTTCAGCAAAAACTGCAGGGACTTGTCATCTAAGGATGATAATAAGCATTTTATTATAAATTAAAATTTGACCAGGACATAACTTGAAAAATGAAACTAAAAATTATGGAGATGGTTGATTTTTCCCCCTTTTAACAGTATTTATGTAATAATTACTATTTTTATTTTTAATTGTTTTTATTGAGCTATATATTTTTCTTAAGCAATGGAGGAGTGTTCCCTTTACCCCACATCCTCTCCAACATAAACTGTTGTCAGTGTTTTTGATCTTGGCCATTCTTACAGGTTTAAAATGGAATCTCAGGGTTGTTTTGATTTGCATTTTTCTGATGGTTAAGAATGTTGAACATTTCCTTAAGTCTCTTTCAGCCATTTTAAATTAATCATTCACGAGTTCTCTGTTTAGGTTTGTACCCCATTTTTTATTGGATTATTTTTTTCTTTTGATGACCAATTTCTTGAGTTCTTTGTATATTTGCAAGGTCAACCCTCTGTCCAAAGTAGGGACGGTGAAGATCTTTTCCCATTCTGTAGGCAGCTGTTTTGTCTTGTTGACCATGTCCTTTGCTTTACAGAAGCTTCTCAGTTTCAGGAGGTCCCATTTATTAATTGTTTCTCTCAGTGTCTATGCTACAGGAGTTAAATATTTAAGGACTGGTCTCCTGTGCTAAGGTGTTCAAGCGTACTTCCCACTTTCTCTTCTATTAGGTTCAGTTTGATAGTTTTATGTTGAGGTGTTTGATCCATTTGGACTTGAGTTTTGTGCATTATGGATCTATTTTCATTCTACATGTTGATATCCAGTTATGCCAGCATCATTTGTTGAATATGCTTTCTTATTTCCATTTTATATTTTTAACTTCTTTCTCAAAAATCAGGTGTTCGTAGTGTGTGGATTGATATCTGGGTCTTTGATTCAGTTCTATTGGTCCCCTTTACTCTGAGGAATATATATCTGTCTTTGAGGTTGAGGCATGTTTATTGTATGTAGCAGAAGGATGGATTCTGGTTTTGTATCCAATCTGTTAGCCTATGTCTTTTTATAGGTGAGTTGAGTCCATTTATATTAAGGGATATTAATGATCAGTGATTGCTTGTTCCTTTCATATTAGTTTTCATTGCTAGTGATGTTGTGTGTGTGTTTTCCCTTCTTTGGGATTTGCTGCTGTGAGATCACCTATTTGTATGTTTTTCTGGGTGTACCTAACTTCCTTGGGTTGGAGTTTTCCTTCTAGTACTTTGTGTAGGACTGGGTTTGTGACTAGGTATTGGCTGAATCTGGTCCTTGTTTTGTCCGTTTATTGTGATTGAAAGGTTTGCTGGGTATGGGAGTCTGGGATGGCATCCGTGTTCTCTTAATGTCTGCATAATGCTTGACCAGTACCTTCTGATTTTTGTTGTTTCAATTGAGAAGTCAGGTGTTGATGTGGGAGTGTCATATATCAATCTGTTGATTTCATTGGTTAAGCAATAAAGAAACTCCTTGGCTCTGATAGGTTAAAACATAGGTGGGAGGAGTAAACAGAATAGGATGCTGGGAGGAAGAGGAAGTGAGCTCAGACTCGACAGCTCTGCTCTCTGGAGCAGAGGCCCTGCTTTGCTCTCCTGGGCATATGCAATGCAGCTCCGACCCAGGATGGACGTAGGCTAGAATCTTCCAGGTAAGCGCACCTTGGGGTGCTTACACACATTATTAGAAATGGGCTAAATTAATATGTGAGAATTAGCCTAGAAGAGGCTAGATAGAAATGGGCCAAGCAGTCTTTAAATGAATACAGTTTGTGTGTTGTTATTTCGAGCATAAGCTAGCAGGAGGCTGGGGTGCTGGGGATGCAGCCCTGCCGCTCCATATTTCAACAAGGTGTAATTCTGAGAGGTCTGATTTTATGTTACTTTGCCTTTTTCCTTTGTAGCTGTTAGTAGTCTTCCTTTATTCTGTATGTTTTTTATTATTAGGTGGTGTGGGGACTTAATTTATTGGTGCTGTCTGTGTGGTGTTCTGTATCTTCATGTGCATATCTTTCTTTAGGTTGGCAAAGTTTTCTTCTATGATTTTCTTGAATATATTTTCTATGCTTTTGAGTTGGACTTTTTCTATCCCTATTATCCTTAGGTTTGGACTTTCATGGTGTCCCATTTCTTCCTGGATATTTTGTCTTAAGCATTTGTTAGATTTAATGTTGTATTTGACCATTGAGCCTGTTGTTTTCCTCTGTTGTATCTTCAGCATTTGAGATTTTCCCTCCATCTCATGTATTCTGCTGTTTACACTTGCATTTTTGGTTCAAATTTAACTGTATGTCTTTGAGTGCAGGCCTTCATGTGTCAAAGCACATATAGTAGAGAAGTACACATATAATAATGTGTGATGTCAGAAGACAGTTTTTTAAAGTGTTAATCAGTTCTTTTCTTGCAAGTAATTTTCTATTTATATCTAATTTGTAGTTAGATTCATTCATTGATATCATTAATTTTTGTAGTGTTTTCCTGTTTTGGAATATCTGTTTGGTGTTTCCTCCCCTTTCTCTTCCCTTTCTGTATATATAGAAAACTCACATTTTGTTGACTGTTTTATTTGCTGTTATAGTTGTCCATTGAGTTAGAAAGTGCGGGACTATTAATGCTATATATCATCTTAAGGGAGTTTTTTTTAAATTTTTGTGATGTTTTTGATTTTTTGTTTGTGTATGGGTGTTTTGCCTGTATGCTCTTCTGTGTTTCATATTTACGCAGTACCTGTGGAAGCCAGAAGAAGTTATGCATCTCTCTAACTTCCTACATTTATATTCTTTTAGACAAAGAACAGGAATAAAGTATGTAAGCCCCAGATGGCAGTTTTTATCATCATCTTTTAAATTTTTCCAAAATAGTGTTAGAAACTAGAAATGTAAAGCCAATGTAATTGTCTTCAGATCTTTATATATTGGTACTGAGAGTAGACTAAGAATTAGATAAGGCAAAAACTTGATTCTAGTTCATACCTATTTATAAATTAATGACCCAAGAATAGTTTTTAATGAAATGTTTTAGGTGGTAGATGCTAGTTTGATAGTTAGATGCTAGTACCAAGAGCAGGACAATAATATCCATTAGTAATAAGTACTCTTTATACTCTAAAATATACTTTTTATAACTTTGTGTTATTGGTTATTAAGTATTCCTTGCCACATGGGCTGTGTATACCACGACAAATGTTTTGAAATTGATTAGTCTTGTGTTTGTGTTTGTTTGTTCTTATTTGGTTAGACTGCAGTTTCTGAATTTGAAAAACATTGCCTTCCTTTGATGCCAGGGGCAGTGTTTGAATTTCACAAGTTAAATGTTTGTTCCATTTGTAAAATGTTGAATTTTTTTATTACTTAATAATTTTTTTATTACTTAAAAAAATACCAGTCCAATTCCCACTCTCTCTCCTTTTCCCACTCCCTCCACGCTCCCTCATTCCCCTCCCCTTTCCAATCCTATCATGCAGTAGAGACAAATCCCAGAGCCTCTGTGAGTGACCCCTCAGTCTGCTCCAACTGTCAGCCACATTCAGCGGGACTAGTTTGATCCCATGCTCTTTCACTCCCAGTTCAGTTGGAGTTGGTGATCTCTCATTAGCTCAAGCAAACTGTCTCAGTGGGTCAGCTTCTCATGGTCTTGACCTCCTTGCCATATTCTCACTCCTTCCACTCTTTAACTGGACCTTGGGACCTCAGTCCAGTGCTCCGATGTGGGTCTCTGCCTCTATTTCCATCAATTGCTTTAGGTGAGTGAGAACCTGTACTTTGCACTCAACTGTGAAATCTTTGATGCTTGACACACTGATAAATTTGTTGGTGAATTGGAAACAAATCTGCTAGAATCCTTCCCTATCACAGCATGGGATTTAATTTAATGCACTGATGATCATCTCTAATAAAATAGTTTTGTTCATTATTTTATCCTTCTTTGTGGACCGTAGCTTAACTTCAGAAAATCGAAAACTGTATACATTGGTTTTAGCAAGACATGTTAGATTTTACCTCTTTTTCTCATCAATTTCTTATAAACATTTTCATACAGAAAAGTTGATAGAATTGTAAACACCCCTAAACTTGCTCCCTAGAGCCTTCAATCAACATTTTAGTATATTTGCTTTAGTCAAATATTTCTTTATCTCTCCAACAATTTGTTAGTCCTTTATATATTTATACAGTCTAAGCTGGTAATAAACAAGCATACTTCATCTGTAAAACTATAAGTTGCATAACTTTTATGAATACTGATGTTAGAATATGACTAGCTGGGCGCACGCCTTTAATCCCAGCACTCGGGAGGCAGAGAGAGGCAGGTGGATCTCTGTGAGTTCGAGACCAGCCTGGTCTACAGAGCTAGTTCCAGGACAGGCTCCAAAGCCACAGAGAAACCCTGTCTCGAAAAAAAAAATATGACTAAATGAAAGTATTTGTAAACATTTGGGAAAGTTTGTAGAAAATTAAATACTGTCACTTTACTATACTTAGATTGATACAAAAAAAAGAAATAAATGTAAACTTGTCAAGTTATTATTTACAGATAGTTTTTATATATTATCTAGTTAGATCCAGTATTATTATTCTAAATAGCAGTGATAGTTAATCACATTTATTTAACTTTTTTTCCCAGCTACTGTGATGTAGTCACCTTCAAGGAGGATACAGGCTAAATTCCTTTATCCTACTTATATTTTCTGATCACATTTACTTTATTTACTTATTTAATGTATATGAGTGTTGTATCTGAATTTACACTTTTATGCCAGAAAGGGGGCTTAGATACTACTTTTGATGACTGTGAGCTACCATATGGTTGCTGAGAATTGAACTCAGGACCTCTGGAAGAGTGACCAGTACTCTTAACCACTGAGGCATCTATCTCTCCAGCCTAAAACAGTTCTTTTTTTTTTTCATTTTAATTTTTTAATTTTATTGTTTGAGACAGTTTGACCGAAAATGCCTCCCAAAGGGAGTAGCACTATTAGGAGGTGTGACCTTGTTGGAGGAAGTGTGTCACTGTGGTGGTGGTGGTGGGGGGGCTTTGAGTTCTCTTTTGCTTAAGCTTTCCTCGGTGATAGTCAGTTGACTTCCTATTGCTTGCTTGCAGATATTATGATGCTCCCCACATAATGATCATGGACTGAACCTCTGAAGCTATAAGCAAGCTACCCTAATTAAATGTTTTCTTTATAAGAATTTCCACGGCTATGGTGTCTCTTTACAGCAATAAAACCCCAAACTAAAACACTCTTTACAGCAATAAAAGCCCAAACTAAAACACAGGGTTTCTCTGTGTAGCCTTGGCTCTCCTGAAACTTGTTCTGTACACCAGGTTGGCCTGCCTCTGTCTCCTAAGTGCTGAGATTAAAGGCATGCACTACCACTGCCCAGCTCCCATTTATTTTTGAAATAGATTTATTTGTTCACTCAAAAAATACTGTTCTCAGTTCTGCGCTATGCCCTTCAAATTCCTGTTCATCAACTGCTGCTGTTTGTAGTATTTGGTGGGTTCCTAAGACAGAATATCTTCTTGAGTATTGTATTTTTTTGCAGGGCCATTTAGAATATTTGAATGTACATCAGAGAAAGTTATACTGTTTTCTTGGACATCTTTTAGTATTTAATGTGTTTTATCACTGTCAGAGTACCACAGAGGTTAACTAAGATTCGGAATCTAATTATTTTTCCATTAGATCATTACTTATTAGCATTCCATGGGTAGTAAAAATCTGCTACTTTTCTCAATGTTCCATATCCGTTATTATGTAATTCATGCAGCAATCTGTCAGGGTTAAGAAAACTAGGGAAGAGAGAGGTTAACTGACTCTTAAACATGACTCAGAATCCAAAGAGCCTTGAAAGACCCTCACCCACTTGGGTGTAGGCCCAAGAGTGAGAAGCCCCGCGACTCAGTTAACCAGTCCAGCAGATGCAAGAAGCAAGAGGGTTTATTAACGAGGGTGCCACCGGGTGTCTCTAGTCTCCAAAGAGATAGAGCATCCCGAACAGCAATTCCAGAAAAAATTTATATGCAAAACCCACAACATTAGCATAGTAGGTATGGGGTACAAAATGATTGGACATAACGTAAGCACATTAGATCAGACCTGGGCCACAATTGTCAGTTCCCTTAAATTTCCCAGAAATACCATAAAAACGTTGACATTGCCCACAAACTTTATCTGTCTCAGTCTGGGCACCAGATGCTTCCTGAGGGTGAGTGGAACAGGGTACTGTGGTCAGGATGCAAGCGTGATAGTTAGGGTTATTTGCAAAATTTGCAAGTTGATACTTCTCTCTTTTTTTGTTGCTGATTGTCTTTAATCTAAAAGTAGTTGCAAACAGGCTTTTCAGCCTGACTAGGAGAGTGCTTTGGCTACAGAATCCTGTGTGGCACTGCCTTAGTGCTTCACATGCTGTGGTCCTCTTACTACCTGCCTTAGAGTTTCCTGGGATGTTCTTAGAAATGTGGATTCCTGAACTTCACCTCATATTTCACCTGTCCTTACTGTGTTAGAGGAAGTTTTAGCTTTACTTAGCTGTTAACCTAGAAATATGGTCAGCATTAATGAACCATCCTTAATTCCTGGAATGGATGACACCAGACTCAGTATTAACCCTTCTTTTCTTGGTGATAACCCTTCAACATTTGTCTTTGCTCTAAGATTGTTATGGATTTTAAGCACCCAGAGGGTGTCACTGTACAAGTTATGCTACCTCGTCGGAGTTTGCTGGTGATGAGAGGAGAATCTAGATACCTTTGGACTCATGGGTATGTATTGTGGTAACCTTGGTGACTGATGGGAAACTTTCTGTTTTGTAAGATTTCTTATTCTTTTCTGTTGAACTGCTGAAGCCATGTCCTGTGCCTGCACATCAAATTATATGGGTACAAACCACCTAGGATGTATGCAGAGATTTTCTTTGTTTTGTTTTCTTTTTAATGCACTGCCTTTTTATTCTAAAAAGATTTTAAATTTAAAGAAAAAGTTTAAGTGTAATAGAGCAAACCTATAGTTCTCAGTTGTGAATACTTTACTGCATCTTACTTTTTCTCCCTTATTGTCATCATTGCTTTTGCTTAATCATCTGAAAGTTAACTTTTTCTTTGTTTTGGTAGAAATGTATCTATGGTTGTTTAAGGTCAGTACATTATACTGCTAGAATTTATGTGTGTGAGAAAAAGTATATATATAATAAAATATTGCATGATTTTTTTATGAATTCTGATCTGCTTATAAATTTTAACTCACACATTTCAAATATTGAAGGTAATGATCATGTTATTGATAACCTGTCCTATGCTTTCATTTATTTATTTATTGAAAATAGATTCTTCTCTTGTACAGTATATTGTGGCCAGTTTCCATACCCTCCATACTTCCCAGCTCTCTTCTACCTCATCTCCCCAGATCCATACTTTTAGTCTGTTTCCTTTTTAGAAAAGAGCAGACCTCTGAGAGATGACAATAGCACTACTCCCTATCTGAACCAAGTAGTCAAACGTACGAGTCTATGGGAGCCATTCCTATTCAAACCACCATACCATGTGAGCCCTACTTAGTTGATTCAGTGGGCTGTGTTCTGGTGCCCTCCATCCCCTCTTCTGCAGGTTTCCCAGATTTCTGAGGGGGGGGGGACCTGGTAGAGACCTCCAATTTAAATTGTCTCTCTCACCCACATAATATCTGGCCATGGGTCTCTGTACCCATTCCATCTGCTGCTGGAGGAAGCATCTCTGATGATGAGGGTACAAGACACCTATCTATGAACAGATCAGAATATCATAGGAATCATTTTATTATTTTTTTCTTGACAGTTATATTTTGTTCCTGGCCATCTAGGCAGTGTAGGTAATAGCTTCCTTCTTGTGATGTGAGATTCTGGTTAAAATATTGGTTGGCCACTCTCATGAGTTCTTTGCCATAATTGCTCCTTCACATCTTTCAAGTGGGACAAATTGTAGGAAGGTTTTGTAGCTGGGTTGGTGATGTGGGATTCCCCTCTGTATGCTGGGAATACCATTGGTTAAGAAAGTATTTTGGGCCTGCGCAGGGAATAGAGGTAGGCAGGGAAAACAAAGCTGAATGCTGGGAGAAAGGAGGTGGAATCAGGGGAGAAACCATGTACCCCCACACACACTGCCAGAGACAGGTGCCGTAACTTTAGCCAGTAAGCCACAGCCACGTGGCGATATACAGATTAATGGAGATGGGTTAAATTTATATTTAAGAGTTAACCAATAAGAAGCTAGAGCTAATGGGCCAAGTAGTCATTTAATTAATATAGTTTCTGTGTGATTATTTCTGGGCTAAGTAGCCAGGGACAAACAAGTGGCTCTCTTCTCCAATAGGGTTGGCTCCATTTTTCTCTTTCCAGAGCATGCAGAATATCTTCTTGAACCAAACTGACTATAAAAGAAGAGTGAAAACTCCATAGTTTCTTCACTGTACATATAGATATAGATGTAGATGTAGAATTTAGAGAGGAGCTCAGTCTCTCACATTCAGTGAGCTGTACAGATGTACTAAGAAATGACACTTTCAGTTTCAGAGAATGATCTTCTGTCCTCATATCAGCTTAGGTTATTTAGGAATCTCCTCAGCACCCCTTCGGCCAACAGCACAACTAAATGCAACCCAGTCCCACCACTAAAAACCTTGCCTGGCTACAAAGATGGTCAGTTCAGACTCCATAACCTCTGTTGCTGGGAGTCCTCACTAGGGTCACCCACACAGATTCCAGGAAGTTGCATTTCCACTCAAACCCCAGTTGACCCCCTCATTCCTGCTATTTCTCCCTGTACTCTTCTTTGAGGGCTTTATTCATTTCCTCTTTAAGGACCTCTGCCATTCATATAATTGGTTTTAAGGTCTTTATCTTGTGCTTTAGCTATGTTGGAATATTCAGGACCTTATGTAGTAGGATAGGTGGGCTTTGGTAGAGACGTATTTCCCTTGCTGTTTGTGAACTGTGTTTTTGTGTTGGCATCTAGGCATCTGGGATTGAGGTGATTTTAAGTCTAGGTTTGCCTTTGTTGGGTTGTATGTTGACTGTTTTGCCTTTTCCTGGCCTCCTTGACTTGTGTCTTCATGGGAATGCTTGCTGGTGTTGGAGACTGGGGGAAAAGGAAGCCAGGGGGAGATAGTCTGTTTCAGTGCTAGGAATGACCCTAAATATTGGGTCTGAGGGAACAGAGAGAATGGAGAAAATTCGGGAGCAGTCTACCTGGTCATTTGGCAGTCATAGCCTGTGATTGAGCAAGTGGTGGTGCCCAAGATGGGGGTGGGATACAAAATCAAAGTGGGAGAGTAGCCTAGAGGGGGATGAACCATGAGTCCCACAGGAGGTATGGATGGGGCAAGGCAAGGCTGCATCTTATATTCTGTTACAGAGCTGTGGGTGACCCTGGGGAGTGGGTCTGGGGAAGCAAGAAGTTGCAGAACATATGTTGGCAGCCTTCCTGGTGTTGTGGTGGTGTGTGGCCTGTGGTTGAGCATGGGGTATCCACTTGTGTTTTCAGGGTTGGTCTTCTGGCATGCATGGCCTTGGTTGAGTAGGGGTGTCTTCCCAAGTTGAGGTTACCTGCCCAATTTGGGGGCTGGGACACAGAGAAGAAATGGGGAGGGGAGGCCATGGAGGGATGGTCTGTGGGAGTCATCAGATACATGGATGGAGGCTGGGGAGGCAAGCTGCAGCTGGTGTTCTGTTGCAGCCCTGGGGGCTACCCTGAGAATTAGGTTGGGAAACAGAGACAATGGAGAAGGTCCCTCCCTGGGCAGCCTACCTGGTACCTTGTCTTCTTTCGAGCTTTTCCTGTCATTGAACTGAGTGTTTGCTAGAGGTAGAGGTTGGGACACAACAAAGAGGAAAAAGCCAAGGTGAGGTTTTGAGATCCACAGGAGGTGTGGACAGTGGTGAGGGGAAGCTGCAGCTGATGTTCTGTTGCAACACTAGGAACCACTCTGAGAATTGAGTTGAGGGGAACAAAGAATAACTGTCTTAAGTTTGAATCATAAAAAATAAATGGCCTGATTTTGATTCTTTTTCATAACCATTATAATATTTGCACTGAAATGCAGTCTAATCAGTTTTCTCAAGTATTCTTGGAATTTTGAAAATAAGCAGGTTTTCTTTTGGGGTTCAGGCTCTTTGTGCTGTCACTCATTTTTAAGCTTTTAAGAATAATGACATTATAGTAAAAGCAAAATAAGGAGTTATTTTGCATATAGATTGTGAAACAACTCTTCTTGGAAATACTAAAGCTTCTTTGTAGTCAGACTTTTTCATCGGGACTGTCGGCTCCCCAGGAATGACACAGAAACTATTATTAATTATAAAAGGTTGGCCAATAGCTTAGGCTTGTTTCTAATTAGCTCTTATAAGTTGAATTAATCTATATCTTTTAATCCATATTCTTTTATGTGGTTCAGTTACTTTTACTCTGTATTACCCGTTCTTGCTCCGAATCTCCTGGCATCTCCCCTTCTTCCCAGCATCCTCTCTCCCTGGAAATCCTGCCTAGGCCATTCAGCTTTTTATTAAACTATTGAGAGTGACACATCTTCACAGTATACAAAAGATTATTTCATAACATTTCTCAGATACTATTTTGATCACACTTTTTTTATTGAAGGTATATTATGTCCTTAAATGTTAACAGTAGTTATATATGAAGGTTTGGATTCTAAGTCATACTAATATTTAATTTAAAGCTGATGTAAGGGTTATACATTCTTTCTTATATTATTAGGAGGAAGAAAAATAAGTATTAACATTATATTTGAAGGTTGCCATTGACATTCATTACCTCCAAAGTGACTGACTCTGAGTGTGCATTTGCATGCTGTAGGAAGAGATGGAGAAAAAGGTGTAGGTTGTCAGATATGGGGAAGAGTGTGATAGAGGAAGCAAACAAATGGTATACCAACTATTTGCTTGTGAAGATCTTTGGTGAAGGGGAGGATAAATTGAAATAAGCATGCCAGCATAAGGAATCAACCTTTTGATGTTTATTCTGGAAAAAAAAATAACAAAATTCCAACCTGCTATATGTATATTCTTTTTCAAGTGCATTGTAATGTGTAGAATGTCATGTATTTGAAACATCATGTTAATCCCAACACTTGTTGTATTCCCTAAATGTTGTCACAATCATGCCAAGTAAGTTATTTTACTTATTGTCTTCAGAATTACACCCAGAAAATTTGATACTGTCCAAGCATCTGAGCAGTTCAAAGGTGGAATAATCACCAGTGACATCGGAGACTTGACTTTAAGCAAGCGGGGAATTCGAACATCATTTACGTTTAGGAAAGTGAGACGTGTGCCCTGTAATTGTAGTAAGTCTCTAATTTCATCTATTGTGCATCAGAATAAATGAGGTATGGAAACCCTTTAAAGGCGTCGATACTTAGGAGAGCTTTTTCTTAACTTCTCTGGTAATATCTGCTGTATCGCATGTGTTAGGCGTCTGTAGCACTTCTCTGAGCTGCTTCCATCAGAGTTTATATTCTTTGAAGGCAGAGGCTATATTTCATCATTAATTTACCCGATATTTGGTCCTTTAGCATCCTTGAGTGCCAAGAAAATGCTTTACTTTTTGAAGTAGTAGCTGAGAGTGTTGGGATTGTAAGGCAATAAAAAATTTCTTATGGAGAAATGATTTTTGTTGGCAAGTCTTGTCAGGCCTTTAATTTTTCTTTTTTAATCTCAACAGAGAACTTGGAGATGACAGATTGCTTGTGTGAGTGACTCTGGGGTAGTAATTGGAGGTTTATAATTTAGTCAGTTTGAAAACCTGTAAGGATCTGAGAAGAACTGCATCACAGGATGCTGTTCTGATTTGTTTATATAAGTATGTTGTTCTCTATATTTATTTCTTGAAATCAGCAGAAAATTCATTTACTTTATAAATGCTAATTTGTAATGACAGTAATCAGAGAATGCTTTTTACATCACAGGTGTTTCAATTCAGGATAGCCTGTAACAATAGCCATTTTATTTAGCTGCAATCTTAAAAAATAAATAAATGAAAACTCTTTTATCTCAGGGCTGGAGAGATAGTTCAGCTCTAGATCTTCCAGAGGACAACAGTTTTCTTCTTCCCAGTGCCTATGTTGTCCGACTGTCACTCCAGCTCCAGAGGATCTGATACCTCTGGCCTCCACAGGCACTCCCCTTCATGGCGTATGCACACAGACACACATACACATGAAATGAAAATAAATCTTAAAGAATGATAATCCTGTTTTAAAAAACTTGAAATTACTCTATTTGTGAGGCTGAAAATGAGTTTTTGCTAATTTTGCTAACACTGGAAGTGAGTTTATAAAATGTGATACTTTAAAATATGTTTGGTATTTGATAAGTCTTACACTACTGGCAGCCTTATAAGGTATAGAAACTAAAGCAAAGCTTCTATTCTCCAGCTACTTAAAAATTTGGTTAGAGAAGCTAGGTTTCTTATGCAAATGTGTCATCGTTGTGGATGGTTATTAATTATAAGTGAAACACTAAAAGCATTTCTCTGGGTCTTTTTATTCTGTTTGCAGATTTTTCCTCCTTTCCTTTCCTCCTCTTTATTCTTTGACAGTTTTGTGCATGTGTCGTAAATTTCAGTCATTTTCACTCACCATTACTCTTCTCCTACTGACTCTCTTCCTACCAACAAATCCCTAACTCCTTACTTGTTTTGTTTTGAGTTTTGTTTCCTGACCCATTGAGTTTAATTAGAATTGCTTACTTGAATGTGGTGTAGAATTATTTTCTGGACCATGGACAACTTATCCGTGACTACGTAACTGAAGAAAATGATACCTCTTCCCCTGGCAGCCGTTAACTATCTCTCAATCCTGTTCCATATATTAATTTTATCTGATACCCTAGTCTTTTGCATAAAAAGTTAACATTGCTTTACTTATTATTCCATAAATATATTTTAATTCATTATTTATCTAATTTTTTATTATTGATTGAGTGAGTGATTGATTGAGATAGGTCTCACTCTATAAGCCTAGACAGCGTGGACCTCACTTTGTAGAACAGTGTGCCCTCAAATTAATGGTGGTCCTGCTGCTCAGATTCTATGGTGGTGGGGTTATAGGCATGTTCCACCACAGCTGGATACAGAGTGTTTTTCTTCTCATTTAGGTTACTCCTCAGTCTGTGACAGACAGAGGAAGGCCACACTTCCTTCCCTTCCAGAGAGCAGTAAAGAAGCATGCCAGCTGGAACAAGAGCATGTTCATCGTGTCTATGATTTGATTGCAAGACACTTCAGCAGCACAAGACACAGCCCATGGCCACGCATCGCGGAGTTCCTGAAAGCTTTGCCAAGTGGTTCTGTAGTGGCAGATGTTGGATGTGGAAACGGAAAGTACCTTGGCATCAACAAGGAGTTATATATGGCAAGTAATTGCTTCTGCTTTCTTTAAATTGAAAAAATGGGATGGAGGTTTATGTATAAGTATTTAACATCATTTTCACTCCTTCCTCTCCCGGTTTCAATTCCTCCTATGTTTCCTTCCCTATTATGTTTATAACCTCTCATTTCACTGTTATTGTCACATAAATATTCATATGTATGTATAAATATAGCCTGTTGAGTCAGTTTATTGTTGCGTGTGTGTGTATGACAGTTTGGGATTACTTAGCCTGTAGGGGACACGCCTCCCTGAATAAGACTGATTCTCTCTTTCTTAGTAGTCATTAATTGCCCTGCTTTTTATGCAGGGGTGGAGCCTTATGAAATTTCTCTCATCCACATTAGCATGTAAGGTGGGCTGTCATTGTTCAGGTCTAGCCATATTTAGGCAGCTATATTGTTGAGACTCTATGGATGTATCTTCCCTGTCCTATATAAGAGATGCTGTCTTACAGCAGATGTTCTATTCCTGTGGCTCCTCAAATCTTTCTGCTCCTCTTACATGATTTCCTTGCTTTATGCATCAGCTTTATCACTCCCTTATTAGGATGCCCCAATATTGAAAACCTCACTAAAAAATCCTTTCTAATCTATAGTTGATAAACATAGTTTACTGATAGTCACATTATAAAGTAAAATCTAAAGATGTGAAAAATTACAAAGAATATAATGGTCATAAATATCTAGGTGGATAAAAAAGAATTGGAGGAGTCTTGGGATGATACTTCAGTAGATAAAATGCTTGCCACATAAGCTTGAGAACCTGAGTTCTGTTCCTAAGTACCCACATAAAAAAACTGGATGTGGTGGTATGTGATGCTATCCCAGTGCTGGAGAGGCAGTGACAGGAGGATCCCTCAGGCTCAGTAACCGACCAGCATAGCTGAATCAGTGAGTCTCGGGTGTCCCTGAGAGACTTTTGTCTCAAAAATACAAGTTGGGCAGCACTTGAGGTATGACAAATGAGGATGACTTATTGCCTTCATACTTAAGTGAACATATGTACACTTAGCCACATATGAACACATACACACCTAAAAGAAAAGATCGGACATGTTTCTTAATTTTTAGTCTGCAGCAACCTTAATAAGAGTATGTACTATGACAAGGAACCACTACAAAGAAAGCGCAAAGATAGAAACACAGTAAGTGAACTTCTTGCACCTCTTCAAAAATGCTCCCTTGCAGCAGTTGGAGACTATTACAGAAAGTGACAACTAGTCAAAATGCCAAGAACAACTGGTGATGAGCAGTTGAATGCCAGTTGATACATCTTTAGCTCAGCTTCTACACCTGAATAACAGAGACTTGTTTTGGTGCCTTCTAGGTCTAAACTAGTGCTCATTTGTTCAGAGTATTACCTCATAGCTTTAAAAACTTTCAAGTTTACTATGTGTCTGCTTTCATTTGTTACCATTTTTTTCTTTGAGTCACTTTTTCTTCTCATGTAAATCAAGTTTTGTGTGGTAGACATTGATGTAAAATTCAAATTATCACTGTTCTGTGTGACTAGAGCTTTTATTTCTCAAGATTGGGGGTAAAGGAGGGAAGGTAGAGAGTCAGAATGAACAAGTCAGTCTATATGGAAGTTATTGAAATATCTCATATTCTTTGGAATATTGGCTTCCTTCCCCACCCTTCATACTTTGTACTCACACAAAGAGAAAAACTGTTCTTAGAGTTGCGGGAAAGTAGGGCTGGCACTAAGAGGAGGATGGAAAGCAGCTTTCCATCGCGGCACCATGGATACCCACGGATTGTTGTCATGTGTAGCTCTATTTTATTTTGTGAATAACACACTACATTTGCTCACATTGAGGAAGTAGGTTTTTGATGTGTCACAAAGAATACAGTGCAAAATAAGATATTCACACCAGACTTGATAATACATGCCTACTATCTTAGTTCTTCTGGTGCACTTGAGCAAAACAGACAAGCAGGGAAAAATAAAACAAAACAGGGAAAACAAAGTGTGATATAGCTTTGGCTGCCCTAGAACTTGCTATGTAGAACAGGCTGGCTTCAAATTCATAGTGATCTCTCTGCCTCTGAGCCCTAAATCCTAGGATTAAAGGCCTGTCCTACCATGCTTGCAGGGTGTTAACTTCTTAAAAATTTATTCACGGGCGGTGGTGGCACACGCCTTTAATCCCAGCACTCGGGAGGCAGGCGGATCTCTGTGAGACCAGCCTGGTCTACAAGAGCTAGTTCCAGGACAGGCTCCAAAAGCCACAGAGAAACCCTGTCTCGAAAAACCAAAAAAAAAAAAAACAAACTTATTCAAAAAGGTTTCAGAATAGACTCTGCTTTCTGACAAAAAAGAAAGAGGGAAAAGACACAAATTTATTTTGTGATTAGAGTGTGATTCACCAAATATTCCAATAAAATACAGAATATTAATTAGAAATTACTATGAAAATTGTTAGTCTAAAGAGCTGGAAAATCTTGAAAAAATAAAATTTCCAGATGCATACCAAATTAAAGCCAGAAGATACTGCAGACCCACTATAGTCAATGAGCTCAAAGTTATAATTAAAAGCATTCTGTGAAAGAAACACCCAGGACCAGAGACATTCATTGTTGAATTCTACCAAACTTTCAATGAAGACCTCATACAAATTTTTCATAACTTGTTCCACAAAATAGAGAGTGAAGGAACACTACCAAATGTGTTCAGTAAGTCAGTATTACACTGATCCAAAACCATATGAAGACACAAAAACAAAAAATTACAGTCCAATTTTTTGATAAACACAGCTGAATATCATAATATCTAACCTCAAATTATACTATACTGAAGTTGGAACTCAAATGTAGTCTTTTCTTGTATTTCTCTGTACTTTGTGTATTGTCATTTTAATTTCTTTACGATTGAATCTTTTATAAATAGTACTTAAAAGTTGTAATTTAGTATCTGAACGTGGATTTAGGTATGTGAGTGCAATGCTTATGTAGGCTAAAAGAGGTCATTGGATCCCCTGGAGCTAGCTAGAGTTAGAGGTGGTTGTGAGCCATCCGATGAGGGTGCTGGGAACTGAACTCAAATCCTCTTTAAGAGCAGTGTGTGCTGTTAACCACCAAATTATCTCTCTAGCTGTAATGTTTTCTTCATAGTTTTAAAATTTTTGTGTGTATAATATATACATCTATATATATTCTTGTTTTAAAAAAGTATTTACTTTTTGTATGTTTGAGTTTTGTCTATGTGTATGTACATGCACTATGTGCAAAACTGTTGTTATTAAATACCAGTAATGGAATTGGATCCCCAGGAATTGGAGTTTTGTAACAGATAACTAGCTACCATGTATGGGTACTGGGGATCAAACCCATGTCCTCTGCAAGAGTAGCAAGGGCTCTTAATTGCTGAGCCATCTCTGTAGCCAAAATGGTGTGTATTTTTAAGAAAAACAAAGCCCTATTCAGAATATTGTTGAAAGATATTTATCTCCCTGCATTCATATTACCCTAATAAACCAGTTTATAATGTGTATATTTTCTAATTATTTTTCCCATAAATATTTTATACTATAGTTTATGGAATTTGATACTACGTATCACTTATCCTCACTGTTACACTAATTATCTCTAAGTTTCTGGAGTTTAGAATATTTATAATAGATGGCATTTCTGTATATATGGTTATTTTAGTTTAGTGCTGTTTTTAATAACTGATAGACTGGAATCTTAGCTCAGTGGCACGGTGTGAGTTTTGGGTTCTAGGTTCCACCTCCAACAGCATGTGCATGCAGGCACACATCCAAATAACCTATTGTGCACTTAGCTTTGTTAGGATGGTAGATTTCTTGTTGAGTATGTATACTATAATAAAAAACACACAAAAAGTTTTTACTATATGCAGACATGTATGTTGAAAGATATTGTTACAGAAGAGAAAATGTAGATTTAGGAGATAAGGAGATCAGGTTTTTAAATCTGTGGTCTATTCTGGCCTCACTGTTCTATACTATATTCTATACTTTCTTTGCCAGAAAATTCCATCATCTCTACTATAGAAATATAACTAACTCAAAATATGTTACAAAGAATGTGCCTAGGTGAATTCCACATAAATAGGTCAGTGGGTCTTAGTCTGGTTAGCTTTTTCTATAATTTATGTTATTTCTAAAAATGCCTTTGAAAAGAGTGGTTATTAAGCTAAAAATTGTGGACATTGTTATGATCATAGTTAAAGATAATGTTACTAATTGCTTTTAAATGACTTGCCAGTTTGCACTGTCAGCAACATTATATAAGGAGAGTTTTTATCACACTGCCAGCACTGTTGTAGTGGCATTTCATTTGTAGTTTATTAACTGAAACCTGCCTGAGGATCAGAAAAGTAAAACAGCCACATTGGCCAGCCTTACAGATCAGGCAGCAATGGCACACACCTTTAATCCCAGTAGCCATAATGACATACACCTTTAATGCCCGTAGCCACATTAGTTTGCCATAGAAACCAGGTGGTAGTGATGCACGCCCTTAATCCCAGAACTAGAGAGGATAACAAAATGGGAGGAGACATCTTAGTCTCAGTCTAATTCTGAGATTCCTGGAGGCAGGATCACCATTTTGTACTGAGGTAGAGATAAGAGCTAGTGGCTGGCTCTTTTGCTTTTCTGACCTTTAGGTTGAACCTCAATTTCTATCTCTGAGTTTTTATTAATCGTGCTTCAGCTGTGAGACACTTTGATTTTAGAAGAGGTTGGAAGTCTACTCTTTGCTGTCCACTTTCCACTCTGACACGCTGAAGGGTGTGTATGCTTTTGTTTCTTTGTTTTTTCCTTTCTCACCTGGGAAAGTAAGCATCAATTCCTTACTAGCTCTAAAAGTTATGGTTTTAATAGTAGAAAATGGAACTTAATTTTAATGATTTCTTTTGTTTTACTTATACATCCTTAGCCACATATTTAGGGTTTTGATTTGTCTTATTTTTCTTTGAAAATTTTAAAAATAAAGAAGTTTCAGTTGGGGATATGGCAGTCAGTAAAGTGCTTATCACACAAACAAGTGGACTTCAGTGGAAATTCTCAGAATAAACATAAAATCCAGATATGGTATCAGGTGTCTATAGTTCACACTCTCCTCCAGTGAGATGGGAGATAGAGACAGGAATATTCTTGGAAGGTTGTGGGTAAGCTAGCCTGCTATACCTGGCTGTAAACCAGAAACACTGAATTTAAGCAAGGTGGAATGCAAAGACTAACACATGCATGCCTACATGCCTGCACATGAACATGAACACATGTGTGATGTGGGATTTCCTTCTGTATGCTCTGATTACTAGTAATGAATAAAGAAACTGCTTTGCGCCTGTAGCAGGACAGAACTTGGCTAGACGGGGAAAACTAAACAGAATGCTGGGAGGAAGAAGGGAAGAGTGAGAGAAGCTATGGAGCCACAGGAGATAGATGCTGGGAATTTTAGCTGGTAAACCACAGCCACGTGGCGATATGCAGATTAATAGAAATGGGTTAAATTCATGTGTAAGAGTTTGCCAATAAGAAGCTAGAGCTAATGGGCCAAACAGTGATGTAAATAATACAGTTTCTGTGTGATTTTTTTCGAGTCTAAGTTAGCTGGGCGGCTTGGAACCAACAAATGGCCCTTCTGCCACACATGTGTACACACAATACACACACAAATAAGAAAGAGTTAGAAAATATTTTTAAGCCTAATGTAAATTTTTATGTTCTTGATCTCCATCCAAGACAATGAAATATGTAGCTTTGCAAGAGTTCTTGAGTTCCTGCTTTTGCTTATAGGCTGTCTTTCTACTCTGTTGTGGACATTGTGTAGCATTATTATGAAGAGTTTCAAGTACTTGATACTATTCTTGGTATTTATAAAAGGAGGAAGGGAAAAAAAGACATGATTTAACTATGGGCTGTGGAAGGCTCCAGGAAAACAAATGAAAGATGAAAGTCTTGAGCCAGGCATGGGTGACTTCTCTAGCATTGGGATTTATATGGCATATTGCCTGTGCTTTCTTGTTATTGAAAAGGTATGCTGTGTCCAAACTGTCAAAAGCATCTAGCAAGAGGAGAAAGACATTTCCTTTTATTTGGATTGACTTCTGTTACAGTTTTCTTTATTGTTCTTAGCAACTTTCTTCTGAATAATAATTGAGCCCTATTTTTAAAGCTTTGTTTTGTAGTCAGATTGGATGTCTTTCTGTTGACTTTTAGTCAGATTCAGTTGATGGTAACAACTGGGCCTACTTCAGTCCTCGGATTATTTTTGAACAGTATTTAAGTGTAAGGAAATGTGACCAATATAAAATTTTGTATATTATTTGAATGGTGTTTCTATTTTGAGTTTGTGTTTATTAGCTGAATTATACAGATATATATGGAAATACATAAATGTGATCATTCAGACATGGATCTTAAATCAAAGGAAAAGTTAGGAACAGTACTGATGCTGTTATTAATAGTCACTTGGGCCATTCTCATGTTTAATTATACATGGGAGATATAGCAAATATAGTATTGCTATACTGTGTGTGTGTGTGTGTGTATAAAAACTAAACAGGAAAGTTTAAACAGAAATCATAAAGCTGTATTGAAGATGGGAAGCCCTCAGACACTTTTACAGAATCAGGTGGTCATGGGACTAATTGGACTTTACCTGTTTGGGAAAGTGGAATGTTCGGTCTGCTTGCTGCCATCAGTGGCTCTATTCATTTAGGTTGGTTATCTTATAAAGAAAGGTTTAAACAAGCACAGTTTTACAAATTGTGAATTCGGTACTATGTTCTTTATAGGGCTAGGGGTTTAACAGAAAAAAAGATTCAATAGCTTTATAAATTGAAGTATTCTTTAGCAACAATAAAAAAACCAAACAAACAAAAACAAACAGGATTTCACTGTGTAATACTGGCTGGGCTTGAACTTGTAGAGATTTGCCTGCCTCTGCTTCTAGTATGCAGGGTGTGTACCACCATATTTGACCTAAATTCTCTATTTTATTTGGTAATGACTGATTTTCCTGACTATAGTCATGACTTTGTACTGACTCTTATGGCTTGTAATATGATTGTATGCTTATGTAGATAAAGCTTGTGTGATTAGTCTAAGGTATAAAATAAATCTCTTGTGATATGCAAACTAAATGTTACACATTTCTTTCTTATAATAGATTGGGTGTGATCATAGCCAGAACCTTTTGGACATTTGTAGAGAGAGGGAGTTTCAGGCTTTAGTCTGTGATGCGCTGTCTGTTCCACTCCGAAGTGGGTCTTTTGATGCTTGCATCTCCATTGCTGTCATCCATCACTTCTCAACTGCGGTGAGTATTGCTTTTCCTTCTGTAAAACTTGTGATTAAGGTGACAAAGTTTGTATGTGTGTGAGTCAAAATAAGCTATTTCTTAATTTTTTTCTTTTCTTTTCCTATTTTTTGTCAAGGTCTCAACATGATGTAGCCTCCAAAAATAAATTAGAAAGGCTCATGTATTAAAGTCTTAGCCCCAAGCTGGGGAGGCTCTATTAGAAGGTGATTGGGTCATGAGGGTGTTAACTACACCAGTGTGTTAATTCATTGAATTCTTTATGCTGTATAGACTTTGAGGGAGTGGGGCCTGTTTTGAAGTAAGGAACTCACAAGTAGAGTGACTTTGAGTGGCACATTTCTTCATGGTCCCCTTCTTCTTTCTGCTACCTGGCTGCCATCAGGTGAGCAGCTCTGCCAGGATGCTGTCTTCTCTGAAGAGCCCATCATAGCCTTAGGAACAAGAAGCCAAATGGCCATGGACTGAAACCTGAAAGTCTATGAAGTAAAATACATCTCCATTTTATATTGCTTTTCTCAGGCATTTTACCACATGAAAAAAACTGATAACAGTTTTCTTTGATTACACCTCATCAACGTCATGTAGTTTTTCCTCTTCCCTTTGCTTTCTGCTTATAGTCTTTAGTTATTTTTAATAACTAAATATGGTACCCAATATCTACCCATGACATCTGCCATGACCCTTGAGTTGTTAGGCTTAGCCCTTCTAGCAATGTAAGACATCAGAATAACACTTAGCTCCTCTGATTTCCACTGTGTTATTGTTCTATATAAATTTTGTTGCTTTAAGCATGTGATATTTATCTGTACTTTTCAAGATTTACTCTTTCTAGTCTTCCTTCTTTAAAGCACTTTTAAAGGTTTCTGAAAGATTAACTTTCTTTTACTTGAAGAATTCTTTTTGCTATTTTTATTTGAGTATTTATTTAGGTATTAAGTGTTTAAATATTGGCAGCATATCTTTTTTGTATCATTAAACTCTTTATTTTAAAAGTACTATTTTGACTATATTTTGAATTCTGAATTGAAAATATATGTTATATTTTGCTACCCTCTTTTAAATTTCTGCTTCATTTTTGGTAATTTATGCTGACTTGAATTCTAGCTTAATAATTATCTGTGAATCAGATATATGTCATTTACTGTTAAAATTCATGTGTTTGTATTATTCTGAAATTGATTTTATGTCTTCATTGAATTTTTTCTAGTTTTATGAGCATATTAGCTTAGTTATTTTAAAGTCTTTGAGGTTTTATTATTCATTTTAAGATGGAAAATAAATCTTTTCTTGTTTTATGTTTGACTGGACACATGTTAATAGTTGTTTTAACATATTTATAATCTATATCATTGCAAAGTAATTGAAATGATGATATTTAAAATTTTTAAATTTATTTACTTTAGAGTGTGTGTGTGTTGATGTCAGTGTGCACTTGCCAAAGGGTACATGTGTAGATCAGAGAACAACTTCAAGAGTGAATTCTGTCCTTCTAGTGTTGTGTGGAGCGGCAGGCTGTGTTCCTGCCCAGCTCCCAGCCACCGGCTAGCTTTTGGCCCAAAATAATTACACGGAAACTGCATACTTTTAAACACTGCTCGGGCCCATTAGTTCTAGCCTCTTATTGGCTAACTCTCATATCTTCTATTAATGAGTGTAGCACCACGAGGTGATGGCTTACCAGGAAGGATCTTAACCTGTGTTTATCTTGGAAAAGAGAGCTATAACGTGTGTCTCACTGCCTTCTTCCTCCCAGCATTCTGTTCTGTCTTCCCCGCCTACCTATGTTCTGACCTATCAGGCTAAGCAGTTTTCTTTATTAATTAACCAATGAAATCAACAGATAGATGGAAGACTCACCTGCATCATTCCAGAGTTGAATTCAGGTCATTGGGTAGTAGCAAGAACTTTTACCTACTATGCCATCTCCCTAGCTTAATTCTTAATTAATTCATAATGCTTAATTCTTAATTATGTTGGATATAGAATAACTTTTTCTATGGCATAACAGCCAGTATATTACAGAAAATAGAGGTCAATAACTACAAAACATTAGGATGAAAACAATTGTGTAAACCCAGTCTTATTTCCAAGTAGTACATCACTTAGTTTTTATTTGAATTAATAGAAACTATAGCAAGTAGCAAATCAACTGGAAGAAATGTGAGAAACTTTAAAAAACAATTGATAAGACCAGTAATAATATACATGTTAAATATGTTATCTTGCTTTTTAATCTATATAAAAACTAAAATATTGTAGAAGACTGCTTGTTTGTTCCCAGATGCCCAGACCATGAAATAATCACACAGAAACTCTATTATTAAATCACTGCTTGGCCAATCACTTAAGCATATTGCTAGGTAGCATTTATATCTTGGGCAAACCCATTTCTATTAATCTATGTATTGCCATGTGGCTGTGGCTTACCAGAAAGGTCCTGGCATGTCTGTCCCTGGATGAGGCTACATGGCTTCTCTCTGACTCCACCTTTTTTCTTCCAGCATTCAGTTTAGTTTTCCTCACCTAGCTCTACTCTGCCCTATCACAGTCCAAGGCTGCTTCTTTATTCATTAACCAATTAAAGCAGCACATATACAGAAGGACCTCCTACACCACTGAAATACCTGAGTAATGGAATGATTATGGAGCTTACTCACTGAACTTGAATTTTTTCAAATTTTGTAGCAGATGTCTTCTTGAAACACTGCATGGTCTTAGAAAGTTGTGATATATAATTTTACACCTTTTATAAAAGAATAGATAATAGTGAACAGAGTATCTCTGGAGGAGAGACAGAGGTCATACCATGGGTGGCAAAAAGTGTCTAAACCTAATAGAAATAATAATAGATATCTCCTTCTGTGTCTATAAAAACTGAGAGTAAAGTTTCTAAGCAGTTGAAAATAGACTTTCACAGGCAGTCTTTCTGAAGTGAAAACTATTTTGCTACTTCTTTGTCTTTCTGTAAGTGATAGTTACAAAGAATCCAAATAACTGTGAAAAACATACTCCAGGGGCTGGAGAGATGGCTCAGCGGTTAAGAACACTGACTGTTCTTCCAGAGGTCCTGAGTTCAATTCCCAGCAACCACATGGTGGCTCACAACCATCTGTAATGAGATCTGGTGCCCTCTTCTGGGGTGCAGGTATGCATACAGGCAGAACACTGTATACATAATAAATAAATAAGTCTTTTTTTTTAAAAAAAAAAAAAAAAACATACTCCAGAATTTAAAAAGTGAAAGTTCTGTTTATTTTCCTACTGAAAAAGTGGAAGAATTTCATTAAATCAATCTGTCTGTCTCTTTCTCCCTCCCTCCCCTCCCCTCCTCCTCCTTCTTCTTTTTTCTTCTGTCTTTCTCACTCCCTCTTTCTCTCCGCTGTTTCTCCACCAGCAGTAGTTATACACCCTTTCTTTTTATGTATACTAAAATATTCTTGGGGCTAGAGCATGTACTTCAGAGCACTTCTGTGCAAGCATGAAGGCCAGAGTTCAGATCCTAGCACCCACATAAAAACTGGGCATGGTCCTCACATGCCCACCTGTAACTCCAGTGCTGAGACTGACAGAGATAGGAAGATTTCTGGCGTTACTGGCTGGTAGTCCAGCAGGCAGTCTAGCTAGTTCTAGGTTCAAGGAACCCTTTGTCTAAAGGGAGTAGTAAGGTGTAAAGTGGTAGAGGTGGATACCTTGGTGCCTTCTTCTGGCTTGAGGTTTATTTTTCTAGTCTGTCTTTGCCTCTGGTTTTTGGGCTTTGGTCATGATTGCTTTAAATATGCATCAAGATTATTATTATAGTTATTGTTATTTGATGCAAAAACCCACAAAGTGTGGTTAATAATTTATTAAGGGGTACAATGGAAAAAGACTCATGAATACAGAATGACTTAGATGCAGCTGCTGATTCAGCTGCCATTGTCCTGTTCTGCCCAAGGGTGGTGAGGACCAACTGCAAGGCTTGCTTCTGCTCCACCCACCTGAGAGAGAGTGCACATCCCCTCCTCAGTTTTATTTGGTCACATATCCAGAGAAAACCATGCCCATAGGCCTAGTTATGCAAACGTCAATTATTATTAATATATATTTATAATTAATTATATTAATAATATATAAATTATTATAACTTCTTGACAGTTTATATTAAATGGTATAGATTCGTTTGTCTGTTTCCAGAGAGCAGTAAATTAAGACCAACAAGTACATATAAACTGGTTAGTTTAATTCTTTAGGGATTGACTTTCTGCTCTATCGTGGCCAGTTTATAGTTACTTCTTTCTGTTCTTCCCTTTAGTTTCAAGTTAAACTTGGTTTATATTTGTGCCATTGTACCTCGAAGACCCTAAGATCATCTTCTGTCTCCAACATTGTATAATTGCTAAAACTTTTGCTTTACTTTCTAACTTCCCAGCTGCTCTTTTGCTGATTTTCTTGGAATTCCACCTAGTGCTTATGCAGCATGGGGACTCAAAGATACCTTTAGAGGACTTTGCATGTAGACTTTGGAGGCATTTCCCTGCAGTTCCTCCTTTATCTGTGATTCTGTTCCCTGCATTCCAGGACTTCGCTGTACTCAGAACCTGGTGTTCTCAGGCCAGGGAGTCATTAGTTTCCATCTTGTAATCTATTTCCCACACTGTGAATTAAATTCATTCAGGTCTAGTCTGCAGACTTGCTTACCAGTGCCTTAGCCAGATGTTTTATGTACAGTTTGAGACACCTACACATAGTCTTACATTTAATTATAATTTTCTACATCCTTTTTCTCTCTCCTCTGGATTGATAAATAATAATCATTTCATTTTAAATTTTCTTTTAGGAGCGTAGAGTGGCAGCTCTCCAAGAACTTGTCCGTCTCCTGAGACCTGGTGGGCAGGCCCTCATATATGTCTGGGCAATGGAGCAAGAATATAAAAATCACAGATCCAAGTACCTTAGAGGAAGCAAAACTTGCCTGCAAGATAAAGAGGAGATAAACAATGTCATAGCCACTGAAGGATTGCTAGCAAATCAAATGTCTGGTGAAAATAGTGAAGACCTAGAATCTTCTGTTCCCTCCACTGATAATATCAAGGAGGAAGGATGTAAGCCAAGGAAAGTTCCTAATTCTGAGCTTCCTGTTCATACAAACCGGACTTCTTTTCATTCCCAAGATGTGCTGGTTCCATGGCACCTCAAGAGAAATCCTGGTAAAGACAAAGCCGTTGAGCCCTTTGGCTTGGCAGGATGCCCTGACCCATGTCCTGTGTTTCATCGTTATTATCATGTTTTCTGTAATGGAGAATTGGAGGCTTCCTGCCAGGCTCTGGGTGATGTTAGCATTCTGCAGAGCTACTATGATGAGGGGAATTGGTGTGTTGTTCTTCAAAAGGTCTGATCTGAACATATCAGATGTAAAGAAAAAAAAATGCCTATCTGTTTCTTCGAAGGAGGATAAATTGTCCCTTTAAATAATGAGGAAGCTTTGGGAGACATTACCAAAGGAAAACTGAGAGCAGAGATTATAGAGGTAACATTCTATCTTCAATTTTTGGCTGACTTCATAAACATAGGTTCCTCTTACATGCCTTCTAAGTATGATGTTGAAAAGTGATTGGCATTAACTTGTGAAAGGTCTGTGATCTTTGTGTAAGCGTACAGCATTTTGAAGCTAAGCTTTTCTTATAAAGTGTTTATAAAGATCCTAAACTATGTAAGATCAAAATGAAGCAATTATGTAACCTTTTAAATGACTTGAAGACTCCTGGACAACAGGACACTATCTGAAGTGTTATCTACAACTAATTGTTCCCAAGAAAATCATAGCAACTTTCTCCCCCCGTCTTTCCAGCACACTGGATGCCCAGTAAAACTTTAGCCACGTATTTCTCAGGATTAATAGAAACTTCAGTCAACAGATATTCATTAAACTCCTACCATTTACTATTAAGTACTAGGAATGAAGCTGTAAGCAAGTAAAGGAGGTTGGGTTGTAGCTCAGTGAAAGAACAGGTGTTTCTAATTGAAGCCCTGGATTTAATACCCATCACTGCAAACAAACATAGCAGCAGAAACCGAGCAAAGTCCTTCTTCCTAGGAAGCTTACTTTCTGGAAGGTGAGGCTGACAAAAGCAGACAAATAAGTTAATATTATGTTCCTGGTAATCATAAACGACAGATAAAAAAGTAAATTGGAGGCTGAAAGTGGTATTAACCTATGAGAAAAAGATTACTTTCTAATGGCTGAAATAACTCCCAGTCTTGACTGATGAATTGCCAGGAACTACTACTATTCCTCATCTGTTGGTTTAAGTTCTAAAGACAATTCAAATAGTTCTCTTTAACAGTTAAATTGCAAACGTTAAAATGTTATCAGCCACACCAAACTTGGCTCTTTCAGTCACAATTGACTGTTTTTTCTTATTCATCATTTGTTCCAATCTAGGAAGAATGGAGGTATTTTTATCTAGTCCTTGAAACCAAAAGTGTGTTCTTGGAAAGTACTACTAAAATTGATATCTAGCCAGACTGAATTGACCAAGAAGAAACTTTTATGATTTTTTAATTAACTCAATCAGAAAACATAAAAGCAACATGTACATGCTTTAAGACCATAACTTGATTTAATAAACATAATTAACAAATTAAAAATTACAGTAAGACACTTTCAAATGAGACTTCTATTTGAATATACAATTTTCTCTTTCTTTTCTATTTATGAGAGAGAATCTCATGTATCCAGTTTGGTCTCAATCTAAGTACCCAGTTCTCTGCTTTCACCTCTCCAGACCTGGTATAACAACAGACCTGGTAACACAACAGCCTAAGAATAGTTTGATATTATTTATATTGAAAAAAATTAAGATATTATTTATATATTAAAACAGTGGTTCTCAACCTGTGGGACAGGACCCCTGGTAGCCAAACCACACTTTCACAGGAGTTGCATAAAACCATTAGAAATATATATTTATATTAGTATTCATAACAGTAGCAAGATTACAGTTATGAAGTAGTACTAAAAATAAATTTATAGTTTATTTTTATATATTCCTACAACAGGAAGGGTGGTATTAAATAATCAAAGCAGTGGAAAAGATAAGAACAACTCTATTAAAGGAACATATGCCCCAGTAAGATGCTTAGTTGATAAAGGCATTTGCCACCAAGCCTAATACCCTGAGTTCAGTCCACAGTACCCACTTGGTAAAAAATGAAAACTGACTCCAATAAGTTGTCCTCTGACCTTTGTACTTACACACACACACACATAAAATAAAAATATTTATTTAGTGGATCTACTGGATCTCACTTTATAGTTATAACTTTGCTGGAACTAGCTAAAATGATCAGGCTGGTCTCAAATACATTTCTGCCAAGTGCTGGAATTAAAGGCATGTGCCACCACATCTGGTTAAATACATTTTAAAGAAAGATATAAAGCTGTGGTGATGGCCCACGTCTTACTCTCAACACTTAGAAGGCAGAGGCAGGAGGATTACTGTAAGTTCAAGATCATTCTGTTGAGTAGAGATAGAGACAGAGATCCACACTGGAGCACTGGACTGAGCTCCCAAGGTCCCAATGAGGAGCAGATGGAGGGAGAACACGAGCAAGGACAAGGGGTTTTGATCCTACTTCATGTTCCGGCTTGGTGGGAGCCTAGCCAGTTTGGATGTTCACCTTCCTAAACATGGACGGAGGGGGGAAGACCTTGGACTTTGCACAAGGCAGGCAACCCTGACTGCTCTTTGGACTGGAGAGGGAGGGGGAGAGGAGTGGGGGGAGGGAGAAGGGTGGGAGGAGAGGGAGGAAAATGGGAGGCTGGGAGGAGACGGAAACTTTTTTTTTCCTTTTCTCAAAAAAAAAAAAAAAAAAAAAAAGATCATTCTGGTCCACAGAGCAAGTTCCAGGACAGCAAGGGCTACACAGAGAAACCCTGTCTCGAAGAAGAAAAAATAGAAAAGAAAAAGCAAAGTTAGCTTGTCCTAAATCAAAATTTGATTATGTTGTTTGTGAACCTAAGTTTCTAAGTAAACAAGTTAGCCATGTTTGATTGGCCATAAGAAGAAAAATTTTAAAGTATATATATATATTGGATATTTTAGAATCTTAAAGGCAGGCATAGTGTCATACCTATAGTATTAGCTGCTCAGAAGCCTGAGCACCAGAGGTCAAAACTGGCTAGGGTTACATAGTGAGACCCCGTCTAAAAGTAAAACAGAAAAATAAGAGACATTTCTTCCTTGTGTCATTTCCATCATTTCTTCTCCTTTGAAATGGCATCCTTGGGTCTCAGTCGTGAGTATCGTTAAGAAATAAGTTCATTGTCCCTGGAGGACCTGATTTCGACTTACTGCATGTTTTCTCTCCATAGAATTAAGAAGTGCTTGTAGGTTTTTGTTACTTCCCATTTCCAACAGCTTCAGGCTGTCTACCCACACTGTTGGGATTGCCGTTTCCTTGAGACTAAAGAACTGCCACTGTGAACATCTTGGTGGCCTTCTCCTAAAGTCTACTAACAATTATCTAATAAACAGTTGTTATAAGCTAAGAGAAAATATAAACTCTAGCTTACAATTAGAATTTTTGAATTATCACTATAATTCTGAGAAATTATTTATTTTTAGTTAATAAAGGAAATGATTTCAAGTTTTATTAGAATATTAAGATACTGTGATGTATTGTGTCTCATATGTCAGTCTTTTATTGTATACCAGCTTTTGAATGAAAGTGTCTGGTGGATGAGAGGAGCAGTAATTTGATTAGAAATATTGGCTGTCTGCCTATCATTTTAAAATTTTATGATTTTGGATATAAGCAGTTCAAATTAGAACCCTGTGAATTAAAAGGCTAAGAAATAATAACAGGACTATGTCAATTTGATTCATGTTTTCCATACTTGAAGAATTTTAGCTGAAAATTTGAAAATATAAATTGTTATAATCTTGTGGGGGCTGTGAACATGCATTGCTTTTTTAGCTTCTGACTTCCTACACACCATTGTGGCTATGTCTGACTTGAAATAAATTTGTCTTGTGTGCTGTGTCAGCATCATGACCTGAGCAACTAATGGTTTCTCTTTCATTCCAGTTTGTAGATTGCTCTTGTTCAAGTACACACTCCATCATGTGAACCAATCTAAAAAATACCCATTTTACAATAAATATACATTCTGTTGGTCAAATTTTTCTAGAGAACCCCATCTAATACAATAATAAAACAGTGTAACAAGTACATACATATCATATTTATACTGTGTTAAGTATTAGAGGTAAACTAAAGATCATTTAAAGTCATAGGAATATGTGTGCTAGATACATTTAAATTTTACTTTATATAATGGATTTGAGTTTCTTTGGATTTTGACCTCTTCCAGAGGTTCCGGAACAAATCCCCCCACACACACATGTAGATAATGCGAGTTGCTTCCAGTTGGAAATAAGGTCAGAGACAATATAGTGTATGCCAAAACATCGCTGGATATCATTCTGAGATTGTAAGCTCTTTGAAACAAGTGACATCCTGAGTTCTACTTTAAAAGGAAATTCTGGCTGCTGTGTGAAGATTTGACAGTAAAACTATTAGAGTGGAAGTAGAAGGGTCAGTCAGGAAGCTTTTGATACAATCCAAATGAGAAGTCATTATTGGTTTGCTATAGTCAATGTGTTGGCATTGTACATAGGAGAACAGTAAGCTTTGGGTTGTAGATTTGGAGGTAGAAATCCAAGAATTTCTGTTGAATTACATGTGTTGTGAAAGGATACAAGGGTCCCACATTAATGTGTGAAACTTCTCTATGTTCTGCATAGTCTGTTTCCTAGGGCTGCCATTCTTCAATCCAAATGCAATTTTGACTTATCCTCTTTTTCCCACTTCTGTGATACCAGGCATGGGTCTTCTGTGGTGCTACCCCAAGTTAATCTTCTAGATAATGCATCTCCTTCAACTGCTGAGCAGTTAGGATGTGCAGTCTGTATAAAAGTAGAAATAAGCAGAACACAGTACAACAGTTGTAATCACAAAATCCCTTTAGGGACCATTAGACTGATACAGGCGCGCACACACACTAGAGGACTCCAGATCATGTAGGCAGCAGGACAACAAGTAACTGATGTGGTTTTAGTTTTAGTAAACCATAACAATAAGATAATTCCTGAGGAAAAGCTGGACATGCTGGGCATAACCATCGAATGCCCTCTGGAAGAAAGAAGAGGAGAAAAGTAGTGACAAGGAAAGGTTGCTTCAGGTTTTCTTGCTTCTCTACCTGACGTGGCTCTATTTATAGGTTCCCAAACCTTTATACAAATAAAGAAAAGAAAAAAATTATGTGTTCATGAAAAAACAAACATAAAATGTCATTTCAGACCACAAAATCTCCACCTTTAAAAAAAAGCAAGTAAAGGTTTGATTAATAAGAAATGTGTAACAAGCATCTTAAAGAATGTCTACTCTGTCTTTTGGTTTATAGAAAAGAAAATGAGGATTTTTAGAAAATAAAAGTGCTGGATTTGAGATAACAAAATATGTGCTAAAATTGAAACAATGCAGTAAAGATTATCATAGCCCTAGAGTAAAGATGATGTTCAAAATCAGGAAGAAAGCACATAAACCTATCTAAAATGTTAATGGTGAGAGAATTTTGTTGAATTAATGGTGTAGGAGGTCCTTCTTTCTATGTGTTGCTTTCGTTGGTTGAATAAAGAAGCTACCTTGGCCTTTTGATAGGGCAGCCCTTAGGTGGATGGGGCAGACAGAACAGAATGCTGGGAGGAAGAGGGCAGGCAGAGAGAGCCGCCATGGAGTCGCCAGAGTCAGACATGCTGAATCTTTCCCGGTAAGCCACTACCTTGTGGTAACACTCAGATTACTAGATATGGGTTAAAGCAAGATGTGAGAGTTAGCTGAGAAGAGGCTAGATATAATGGGCCAGGCAGTGTTTAAATGAATGCAGTTTCTATGTAATTATTTTGGGGCTAAGCTAGCCGGGCAGCAGGACGCAGCCCAGCATACCTGTCTACTACAAATTAATGAAGATCCTCTTTGCTTGTGGTTTCCTGAATAAGCTATTTAGGCCTTGTGAATATGTAACATTTGATGAAGGCATATATGTAGAATGTTCATTTATTTGTCAGCTTCTACAAAGTGAATAGATGTGACCTTCCTATGCTTATGTTCCTAAGATTTCCTGTAGTCCCAGAGTTAGCACCAGAAGATCCAATAGCCTTAGATACAAAGATGTCCTTGTGGATTTTTCTAGTTCACATTTCTAGTTCATGCTAGTGTTCTTACAAAATAATTAGATGAGAATATACTAATTTTTGCTTTATTTGTATGAAGCAGAAGGATTCTAATCAAGTCTAACTAATATCACCAAAACAATGACTTAGGTCTTAGAGCCAGTCTATAGACCCAAGGCTCTTTGAGTGAGAACAAGGCTGGATCAATTTCTTTAAGGAAGGAACCTACTATACTGCCTAATACCTACACAATTAATCTTTCTCGCACAGTTCTGAAAATAGACTATAACTTTCAGATAGGGTATTTGGATTATATACAAAGAAGTAATCAGGCATTTGGCCATGACTAGATACCAGTTCTGAACTGGAACTCATTTTAAGAGACTCAAGATGTCACCTTGAGTAATTAGAATAGAGGCTTAAGGACAGTAGATCATCAATGGAGCTTAGCTCAGTAGCCTCTCACAGTAGGTCTAGTGGATTCTTCAATCCATACTGTGGTTATCTCCCCCAGTTCTAGGATGCACAATTGGTGTGGAAATACTCAACAACTGGCACTGGTTTTCTGAACTTTGGAGTGTCCTAAGTTGGTATTTAAGAAATGACATCTGGAAGCTACTGGGACAAGCTTCCTAAGAGAAGCAGTAAGGCAAAGCTGAGAGCACATGCCTGCAAAGGTTGCAGAGATTAGTACCACCTTTAGCCTTGCAGGGGTCTATTTTCTTTGAGTCTGGGATAGTGGTTTCTACCATACCCCATTTCAGCTCTTCTTTTTGTACAATATAGAATATAGACGGATCTTGAAGAATTATCAAAAAATGCCGCCATGTCATGACTCATATGTAGCTACTATTTTAGATATGGGCTAATTTTTGAGCAAATAATAACCACCCCTTTATTTAGTATGTTGCTAAAATAACTACCAAAATATATTTTTAATTAATTTTCCTTTAGGTTGCTCTATATAAATATTGTGTCTTTTCAGTAGCTTGACATCTTTAATTCTATTTTTAGCCACAACGTTGGTTTTAGATTCTTGATC